CATAGATGCTACTTTTCGACTTGGTGGGACTCAAGTTTCAAAGCGAATTGTTTATGTTCATGTAGATAGTGGACACGTAGCACAAAATGGTGAGCCGTACCCGAAAGAGAGAGGAGATGGTTTGAGGTAGGGTTGGGTGAATTCTTCAATGGAGGTGGAGAACTTGAAGAATTGGAAATACATATCTTGTCGTATGATAGGTACGCTGTGGGGGGCGGTCTCTTTGTTCAAGGCATCGACATCAGGCCATGTTTGTAGGTAGGGCTGAGCATTAGAAACCGAACCGATAGGTTATTCGAAAATCGAACAAAAAAAATGAATTTGGTTTGATTTTAATGATTTTTTATTTTTATTTTTTTGATTTTAATGTTAACCGAATAAATTTTGGTTCAGTTTTAGTTGAGCTTTTTAAAAATCAAAAACTAAACTTAAGCCTATGCTAATAAATAAAATAAATAAAATAAATTTTGGTTCAGTTTTAGTTGAGCTTTTTAATGTTAACAAAAATGAAAACCAAAAATAAAATAAATATGACAAAATATAACAAAATATGTGATAAAATATAATCTATTATTAAAAAAAGATTGATTAATATTTATTTATCAAAAACCAAATTGAATCAATTTTATTGGTAATTAAACCGATCAGTTTTGTGAAAATTTTGGTTCAATTTTGGTTTTTAAAATTGAAGAAATTTTTTTTGATTATTTTAAAATCGGTTTTGGTTTTAACCGAAACCAGTTTTGCCCACCCTATTTGTAGGACATAACAAAGTTTTCTTGTTTTTTTTCTTCTATGTATTTTATTTTATGTGGGAGAAAAATAGCAATTACAATCTACTAGTTTTTATAAAGATGTCAGCTCTGCTACTAATGAAATTACTAATTTTGATGCGATTTAATCTTTGCTATAAATAAATTTCATTTATAGTTTTAATTATTGAAAAAGTGTTTTGTAATTTGAATTATATTAAAGAATAAAATATAGATTTTAGATGAGAAATATATCTTTTGATATTTTTTTTTTTGAGGGTCTTTTATTTTGCATTATGATATAATTTAAATGATAAAATAATGAACTATTTTATTATATATTGGAAAAGAATGCATTTAAATTTTATTT